ATGCAGACCTTGCTTTGTCCTTCAAAGCAGGTGAGAACCACAGGTTTGAGACTGCAGCTTCACCTTGGAAAGCAGCTGCCATTGACCTTTGAGATGCCCTCCTGAGGTAGAGCAGCTTTTGATATGCAAACTAACACGTTCACATATTCCTTCAGGGCAAAGCCCTGCAAAACTCCTGAGACCATTTCTGTCTCTAATATAGTAATATTAATTTATGGAGCAACACACCACACCTGGCTAATTTTTCTATTTTTTTGTAGAGATGGGGTCTCGTTAGGTTGCTCAGGTTGGTCTTAAACTCCTGTACTCAAGCAATCTTCCTGCCTCGGTCTCCCCAAGTCCTAGGATTATAGAAGTGAGCCACCACACATGGCCCTTAGAAATAATTTTATGTTGTGCTTAGTTACCACTATTTTTGTGAATAAAGGTTTTTTCCCTCACTACATTTGGGATTACTTGCTTAGAAATTCTCCAAAGAGGAATTACTGGGGTAAAGAGTATGAAGTTTTTAGTGGTTCCTAAATAGAAATGATTTTTTCATTCATACATGTACTAAAACTAAATTGAGAGGGCTTATTTCACTGTTCCCTGGTCAGATTGAAGAGTATTATTCTAAAAACTCACTGCCAAGTTGGAAAACAAAAAGGTATAATTATCCTAGCATTACAATTTAACTCGAGATTTATTGAATAACTAGGTTTTACTTAATTTATACATAAATGATACAAAGACTTGATAAAATTCCCAGGAAACTGAGTATTAGATAAATGCTGTTTCTTTAGGTTAACCTAGAGTATAAAAATGATTTAAATATTTACTCAATAAAGCACAGACCATATTTGGCGAGAAATATTTTGGAAGTCTCCATTTCCTTTGGTACCAAAATCATACATGAAAATAGCCATTTATACAACATGGGGAAAAAATCCTCAAAATATAGTAAGAAAAGCAGGTCCCCTCACATTCAATAACCAAAATGAATTTTAAAAACCCAGTCATCTCACAAGTAACATAGGTAAAAAGGATCTTAAAATAATGATTACATACTTTCATGAATTTGTTTAAGAATACCACTTACTGTGACATGTTGGGCATCTTTTCCCTTTGTGGGAAAATCTACTGAGTGTCATATCAAAGTCTGTTATTATCTGTAAGAAATAGGAGAAAGGCATTATGTAAACATAGCCACCATGGGTAGCATTTCTGTGTGCTATCCAAATGCACACTGCATGCTTTCCTATATGTATCGGACTGTCCTTCACCCCCATTGTAGGTTATTTTCTCTACATTGAGTTTTATCACACAATTCATTTATAAAATCCTGGGAATGACCTTAACTACAAGGCACTACCTTAAGTGCCCTAGCATTGTCACCAATTAAAATATGATTATTCAGCCATAAAAAAGGATACAAAAAATAAAAAATGAAACAAAAACAAAACCATAAACAAAATTAAAATATACATATAAAAAAGGAATACCATCATATGCAGCAACATGGGTAAGCCTAGAGGTCATTATGTTAAAGTAAAATAAGCCAGGCACAGAAAGACAAATACTGCATGTTCTCACTCATATGTGGGAGGTAAAAGAGTTGATCTCATGAAGGTAGAGAAAATGATGGTTACCAGAGGCTGGGAAAGGTAGGAGGGTGGGGGATGAAAAGAGGTTGGTTAATGGGTACAAAATTATAGTTGGATAGAAGGAGTAAGTTTTAGTGTTCAATTGTACAGTAGGGTGACTACAGTTAACAATAATTTATTGTATATTTCAAAATAGCTAGAAGAAAAGATTTGGAATGTTCTCAACACAAAGAAATCATAAATGATTGGGGTGATGGATATCCTAATTACCTTGATTTGATCATTGCACATTGTACACATGTTTCAAAATATAACATGTACATCACAAATATGTACAATTATTATGCATCAATTTTAAAAATTGGAAAAAAAAAAAAGAGCCAGGCATATAATCCCAGCACTTTAGGAGGCTGAGGCAGGAGGATCACTTGAGGTCAAGAGTTCAAGACCAGCCTGGG